AAAGAGCTCTCCAAGGATGTCAGGGACAAGATTGTAGACCTACACAAGGCTGGAATGGGCTACAAGACCATCGCCAAGCAGCGTGGTGAGAAGGTGACAACAGTTGGTGCGATTACTCGCAAATGGAAGAAACACAAATTAACTGTCAATCTCCCTCGGCCTGGGGCTCCATGCAAGATCTCACCTCGTGGAGTTGCAATGATCATGAGAACGGTGAGGAAACAGCCCAGAACTACACAGGAGGATCTTGTCAATGATCTCAAGGCAGCTGGGACCATAGTCACCAAGAAAACAATTGGTAACACACTACGCCGTGAACCACTGAAATCCTGCAGCGCCCGCAAGGTCCCCCTGGTCTAGAAAGCACATATATTGGCCCGTCTGAAGTTTGCCAATGAACATCTGAATGATTCAGAGGAGAACTGGGTGAAAGTGTTGTGGTCAGATGAGACCAAAATGGAGCTCTTTGGCATCAACTCAACTCGCCGTGTTTGGAGGAGGAGGAATGCTGCCTATGACCCCAAGAACACCATCCCCACCGTCAAACATGGAGGTGGAAACATTATGCTTTGGGGGTGTTTTTCTGCTAAGGGGACAGGACAACTTCACTGCATCAAAGGGACGATGGACGGGTCCATGTACCGTCAAATCTTGGGTGAGAACCTCCTTCCCTCAGCCAGGGCATTGAAAATGGGTCGTGGATGGATATTCCAGCATGACAATGACCCAAAACACACGGCCAAGGCAACAAAGGAGTGGCTCAAGAAGAAGCACATTAAGGTCCTGGAGTGGCCTAGCCAGTCTCCAGACCTTAATCCCATAGAAAATCTGGAGCTGGAGCTGAAGGTTCGAGTTGCCAAACGTCAGCCTCAACCTTAATGACTTGGAGAAGATCTGCAGAGGAGTGGGACAAAATCCCTCCTGAGATGTGTGCAAACCTGGTGGCCAGATACAAGAAACGTCTGACCTCTGATTGCCAACAAGGGTTTTGCCACCAAGTACTAAGTCATGTTTTGCAGAGGGGTCAAATACCTATTTCCCTCATTAAAATGCAAATCAATTTATAACATTTTTGACATGTGCTTTTCTGGATTTTGTTGTTGTTATTCTGTCTCTCGCTGTTTAAATAAACCTACCATTAAAATTATAGACTGATTTCTTTGTCAGTGGGCAAACGTACAAAATCAACAGGGGATCAAATACTTTTTTCCCTCACTGTATATACACTGCTCAAAAAAATTAAGGGAACACTAAAATAACACATCCTAGATCTGAATGAATGAAATAATCTTATTAAATACTTTTTTCTTTACATAGTTGAATGTGCTGACAACAAAATCACACACAAATTATCAATGGAAATCAAATGTATCAACCCATGAAGGTCTGGATTTAGAGTCACCCTCAAAATTAAAGTGGAAAACCACACTACAGGCTGATCCAACTTTGATGTAATGTCCTTAAAACAAGTCAAAATGAGGCTCAGTAGTGTGTGTGGCCTCCACGTACCTGTATGACCTCCCTACAACGCCTGGGCATGCTCCTGATGAGGTGGCAGATGGTCTCCTGAGGGATCTCCTCCCAGACCTGGACTAAAGCATCCGCCAACTCCTGGACAGTCTGGTGCAACGTAGCGTTGGTGGATGGAGCGAGACATGATGTTCCAGATGTGCTCAATTGGATTCAGGTCTGGGGAACGGGCGGGCCAGTCCATAGCATCAATGCCTTCCTCTTGCAGGAACTGCTGACACACTCCAGCCACATGAGGTCTAGCATTGTCTTGCATTAGGAGGAACCCAGGGCCAATCGCACCAGCATATGGTCTCGCAAGGGGTCTGAGGATCTCATCTCGGTACCTAATGGCAGTCAGGCTACCTCTGGCGAGCACATGGAGTGCTGTGCGGCCCCCCCAAAGAAATGCCACCCCACACCATGACTGACCCACCGCCAAACCGGTCATGCTGGAGGATGTTGCAGGCAGCAGAACGTTCTCCACGGCGTCTCCAGACTCTGTCACGTCTGTCACATGTGCTCAGTGTGAACCTGCTTTCATCTGTGAAGAGCACAGGGTGCCAGTGGCAAATTTGCCAATCTTGGTGTTCTCTGGCAAATGCCAAACGTCCTGCACGGTGTTGGGCTGTAAGCACAACCCCCACCTGTGGACGTCGGGCCCTCATACCACCCTCATGGAGTCTGTTTCTGACCGTTTGAGCAGACACATGCACATTTGTGGCCTGCTGGAGGTCATTTTGCAGGGCTCTGGCAGTGCTCCTCCTTGCACAAAGGCGGAGGTAGCAGTCCTGCTGCTGGGTTGTTGCCCCCTCCTACGTCCTCCTCCACGTCTCCTGATGTACTGGCCTGTCTCCTGGTAGCGCCTCCATGCTCTGGACACTACGCTGACAGACACAGCAAACCTTCTTGCCACAGCTCGCATTGATGTGCCATCCTGGATGAGCTGCACTACCTGAGCCACTTGTGGGGGTTGTAGACTCCGTCTCATGCTACCACTAGAGTGAAAGCACCGCCAACATTCAAAAGTGACCAAAACATCAGCCAGGAAGCATAGGAACTGAGAAGTGGTCTGTGGTCACCACCTGCAAAACCAGTCCTTTATTGGGGGTGTCTTGCTAATTGCCTATAATTTCCACCTGTTGTCTATTCCATTTGCACAACAGCATGTGAAATTTATTGTCAATCAGTGTTGCTTCCTAAGTGGACAGTTTGATTTCACAGAAGTGTGATTGACTTGGAGTTACATTGTGTTGTTTAAGTGGTCCCTTAATTTTTTTGAGCAGTGTATATACAGTACCAGACAAAAGTTTATCTTGAATCTACTCATTCAAGGGGTTTTCTTGATTTTTACTATTTTCTTCTTTGTACAATAATAGTGAAGACATCAAAACTATGAAATAACACATGGAATCATGTAGTAAACAAAAGTGTTAAACGAATCAAAATATTTTAGATTTTAGATTATTTAAAGTAGCCACCCTTTGCCTTTGACAGCTTTACACAATCTTGGCATTCTCTCAACCAGCTTCATGAGGAATGCTTTCAAACAGTCTAGAAGGAGTTCCCACATATGCTGAGCACTTGTTGGCTGCTTTTCCTTCACTCTGCGGTCCAACTCATCCCAAACCATCTCAATTGGGTTGAGGTCGGGTGATTGTGGAAGCCAGGTCATCTGATGCAGTACTCATCACTCTCCTTCTTTGTCAAATAGCCCTTACACAGCCTGGAGGTGTGTTGGGTCATGATAGTCCCACTAAGCGCAAACCAGATGGGATGGCGTATCGCTGCAGAATGCTGTGGTAGCCATGCTGGTTAAGTGTACCTTGAATTCTAAATAAATCACTAACAGTGTCACCAGCAAAGCACCCCCACACCATAACACCACCACCTCCATGCTTCACGGTGGGAACCACACATGCAGCGATCATCCGTTCACCTACTCTGCGTCTCACAAAGACACGGCGGTTGGAACCAAAAATTGCAAATTTGGACTCCAGACCAAAGGACACATTTCCACTGGTCTAATGTCCGTTGCTCGTGTTTCTTGGCCCAAGCAAGTCTCTTCTTATTATTGGTGTCCTTTAGTACTGGTTTCTTTGCAGAAATTCGACCATGAAGGCCGGATTCACGCCGTCTCCTCTGAACAGTTGATGTTGAGATGTCTGTTACTTGAACTCTGTGAAGCATTTATTTGGGCTGCAATTTCTGAGGCTGGTAACTCTGAGCTTATCCTCTGCAGCAGAGGTGACTCTGGGTCTTCCATTCCTGTGGCGGTCCTCATGAGAGCCAGTTTCATAGCGCTTGATGGTTTTTGCAACTGCACTTGAAAAACTTTCAAAGTTCTTGAAATCTCCGTATTGACTGACCTACATGTCTTAAAGTAATGATGGACTGTCGTTTCTCTTTGCTTATTTGAGCTGTTCTTGCCATAATATGGACTTGGCTTTTTACCAAATAGGGCTATCTTCTGTATACCAACTATCTTGTCACAACACAATTAAACGCATTACGAAGGAAAGAAATTCCACAAATTAACTTTAAGAAGGCACACCTGTTCATTGAAATGCATTCCAGGTGACTACCTCATGAAGCTGGTTGAGAGAATGTCGATTGTGCAAAGCTGTCGTCAAGGCAAAGGGTGGCTACTTTAAAGAATCTCAAATATAATATATATATATTGATTTGTTTAACACTTGGATACTACATGATTCCATATGTGTTATTTCATAGTTTTGATGTCTTCACTATTTATTCTACAGAAAATAGTAAAAATCAAGAAAAACCCTGGAATGAGTAGGTGTCCAAACTTTGACTGGTACTGTATGTACAGTGCATTCGGAAAGTATTCAGACCCCTTGACTTTTTCCACATTTTGTTATGTTACAGCCTTATTCTAAAATGGATTCAATTGTTTTAATTTTTTTCATCAATCTACACAAAATACCCCATAATGACAAAGCAAAAACAAGTTTTTAGACATTTTGCAATAAGTATTCAGACCCTTTACTCAGTACTTTGTTGAAGTACCTTTGGCAGCAATTACAGCCTCAAGTCTTCTTGGGTATGTCGCTAGAAGCTTGGCACACCTGTATTTGGGGAGATTATTCCACTCTTCTCTGCAGATCCTCTCAAGCTCTGTCAGGTTGGATGGGGAGCGTTGCTGCACAGCTATGTTCAGGTCTCTCCAGAGATGTTCGATGGGGTTCAAGTCCGGGCTCTGGCTGTGCAACTCAAGGACATTCAGAGACTTGTCCCGAAGCCACTCCTGCGTTGTCTTGGCTGTGTGCTTAGGGTCATTGCCCCAGTCTGAGGTCCTGAGCACTCTGGAGCAGGTTTTCATCAAGGATCTCGCTGTACTCGTAGTCACACTTATTTTTTTTGCCTTGCCCGCCATTCTAAAGAACTGTTGCTAACAGTAATGCATTCTTGATGGAGGTTTTGTATCGTATGCATTAGCCATTATTCGCCTCCCTCCCCTCTCCGTAAGGTTTGTAACGCCGGAGGAGAAGAAGAAGCAGGGCATCCAGCGGGACAACGAGGTGCTGCTCCAGAGACGCAAGGACCAGATCCAGCCCGGGGGGGCCACGCTCAGCGTCACCGTGCCCTACAGGGTCATCGACCAGCCCCTCAAACTAGCTCCGCAGGACTGGTGAGTCACCACCACCGTACATGACCATTTGGCATCTTCAATACATACATTCCACTTCGTATCATTGACCGTCACCAGGACCGTACATGACCCTACTACATAACCATTTATGAACTTCCATACATACACTCCACTTAGAACTGGCGAGTCTCCAGGACCATACATGATGATACATGACCACATTATGAACATACATGACTGTTCATGATCTTCCATATACAGTGGGGAAAAAAAGTATTTAGTCAGCCACCAATTGTGCAAGTTCTCCCACTTAAAAAGATGAGAGAGGCCTGTAATTTTCATCATAGGTACACGTCAACTATGACAGACAAATTGAGGAAAAAATATCCAGAAAATCACATTGTAGGATTTTTTATGAATTTATTTGCAAATTATGGTGGAAAATAAGTATTTGGTCACCTACAAACAAGCAAGATTTCTGGCTCTCACAGACCTGTAACTTCTTCTTTAAGAGGATCCTCTGTCCTCCACTCGTTACCTGTATTAATGGCACCTGTTTAAACTTGTTATCAGTATAAAAGACACCTGTCCACAACCTCAAACAGTCACACTCCAAACTCCACTATGGCCAAGACGAAAGAGCTTTCAAAGGACACCAGAAACAAAATTGTAGACCTGCACCAGGCTGGGAAGACTGAATCTGCAATAGGTAAGCAGCTTGGTTTGAAGAAATCAACTGTGGGAGCAATTATTAGGAAATGGAAGACATACAAGACCACTGATAATCTCCCTCGATCTGGTGCTCCACGCAAGATCTCACCCCGTGGGATCAAAATGATCACAAGAACGGTGAGCAAAAATCCCACAACCACACGGGGGGACCTAGTGAATGACCTGCAGAGAGCTGGGACCAAAGTAACAAAGCCTACCATCAGTAACACACTACGCCGCCAGGGACTCAAATCCTGCAGTGCCCCCCTGCTTAAGCCAGTACATGTCCAGGCCCGTCTGAAGTTTGCTAGAGTGCATTTGGATGATCCAGAAGAGGATTGGGAGAATGTCATATGGTCAGATGAAACCAAAATATAACTTTTTGGTAAAAACTCAACTCGTCGTGTTTGGAGGACAAAGAATGCTGAGTTGCATCCAAAGAACACCATACCTACTGTGAAGCATGGGGGTGGAAACATCATGCTTTGGGGCTGTTTCTCTGCAAAGGGACCAGGACGACTGATCCGTGTAAAGGAAAGAATGAATGGGGCCATGTATCGTGAGATTTTGAGTGAAAACCTCCGTCCATCAGCAAGGGCATTGAAGATGAAACGTGGCTGGGTCTTTCAGCATGACAATGATCCCAAACACACCGCCCGGGCAACAAAGGAGTGGCTTCGTAAGAAGCATTTCAAGGTCCTGGAGTGGCCTAGCCAGTCTCCAGATCTCAACCCCATAGAAAATCTTTGGAGGGAGTTGAAAGTCCGTGTTGCCCAGCGACAGCCCCAAAACATCCCTGCTCTAGAGGAGATCTGCATGGAGGAATGGGCCAAAATACCAGCAACAGTGTTTGAAAACCTTGTGAAGACTTACAGAAAACGTTTGACCTGTGCCATTGCCAACAAAGGGTATATAACAAAGTATTGAGAAACTTTTGTTATTGACCAAATACTTATTTTCCACCATAATTTGCAAATAAATTCATTAAAAATCCTACAATGTGATTTTCTGGATTTTTTCTTCTAATTTTGTCTGTTATAGTTGACATGTACCTATGATGAAAATTACAGGCCTCTCTCATCTTTTTAAGTGAGAGAACTTGCACAATTGGTGTTTGACTAAATACTTTTTTTCCCCACTATACAGTGCTTTCAGAAAGTATTCACACCCCTCAACTTTTTCCACATTTTGTTGTTACAGCTTGAATTAAAAATTGAGATTTTTTTCACTGGCCTATACTCAATTCCACTTTGTCATTATGGAGTATTATGTTTTCCAAATTTTTTACAAAATAATTACAAATGAATAGCTGAAATGTCTTGTCAATAAGTATTCAACTTCTTTGTTATGGCAAGCATAAATTGTGCTTAACTAGTCACATAATAAGTTGCATGGACTCACTGTGTGCAATAATGGTGTTTAACATGTTTTTGAATGACTACCTCATCTCTGTAGCCCACACATACAATTATCTGTAAGGTCCCTCAGTCGAGCAGTGAATTTCAAACAGATTGAACCACAAAGACCAGAGAGGTATTCCAATTCCTCGCAAAGAAAGGCACCTATTGGTAGATAAAAATAAAATAAAAAAGCAGACATTGAATATCCCTTTTGAGCATTGTAAAGTTATTAATTATACTTTGGAAGGCGTATTCATACACCCAGTCACTACAAAGATACAGGCATCCTTCCTAACTGTTGCTGTAGAGGAGGAAACCGCTCAGGGATTTCACCATGAAGCTAATGGTGACTTTAAAACAGTTACGAGTTTAATGGCTGCGATAGGAGAAAACTGAGGATGGATCAACAACATTGTAGTTACTCCACAATACTAACCTAATTGACAATGAAAAGGAAGCCTGTACAGAATAAAAATATTCCAAAACATGCATCCTGTTTGCAACAATGCACTAAAGTAATACTGCAAAAAAATGTGGCAAATCAATTAACTTTTTGTCCTGAATACAAAGTGTTATATTTGGGGCAAATCCAATACAACACATTATTGAGTACCACTCAACATTTTCAAGCATAATGGTGGCTGATCATGTTATGGGTATGCTTGTAATCGTTAAGGACTGGGGAGTTTTTCAGGATAAAAAATAAACTAAATGGAGCTAAGCACAGGCGAAATCCAAGAGGAAAAACCAGGTTGTCTGCTTTCCACCAGACACTGGAAGATGAATTCACCTTTCAGCAGGACAATAACCTAAAACACAAGGCCAAATATGCATTGGAGTTGCTTACCAAGAAGACAGTGAATGTTCCTGAGTGGCCGAGTTACAGCTTTGACTTAAATATACTTGAAAATCTATGGCAACACCTGAAAATGGTTGTCTAGCCATGATCAACAACCAATTTGACAGAGCTTGAAGAATTTTGAAATGAATAATGGGCAAATGTTGCACAATCCAGGCATGGAATGCTCTTAGAGAGCAATATGTGATTGTTCATGAGTGTGTGTAGACACAATAGTACTACATGATCGACAGTACCTGACGATATTGTGTTAATGGCCGGCTGTACATGTCAGTACTTGACCCTACATCCACATACTACTACACCACTTTAGCAACCCTCCCCTCAAAACATGCCCCATGGCCACAAATGACTATACATCCTCTCTAAATCTGGCTTAGAATGTGACGATTGTGCAAATTGTACTCCCATTTTACTGTACCACACATAAAAAACATATTGTAAAGTGGTTATCCCACTGGCTATAAGGTGAATGCACCAATTTGTAAGTCGCTCTGGATAAGAGCGTCTGCTAAATGACGTAAATGTAATGCAAAACGGTCTCATTTTGTATGAATTGTTTTTGCAGTAGAGGTTGATGTTGACTGTGTGTGTTGTGCAGGGATCGCGTGGTGGCCGTGTTTGTGCAAGGCCCTGCCTGGCAGTTCAAGGGCTGGCCTTGGCTGCTGCCTGACGGATCTCCTGTGGACATTTTCGCTAAAAGTGAGATTCCTCCCACTTGCTCTTATACATACAGGGGTTGCACTTTACTTTCGACGATGTAATTGAATGTCGTTCTTGTTACAGATAACTAGTTACCCAGTTATTTCAAACTGTAAAGTGCCACCCATACAGTTCTTTGGCTCCAAACCTGTGATACCTTAAGATGGACTTAAGTTCATGTATTTGAGCTAACCTGTCCAACCCATGTCTCGAAACGAGTATTGGTCCTACCTAATTGACTGTGTGTGGTTGTGGTCGCCCTGCAGTCCGAGCCTTCCATCTGAAGTATGACGAGCAGAAGATGGACCCCAATGTGCAGAAGTGGGACGTGACCGTGCTGGAGCTGAGCCACCACAAGCGCCATCTCGACCGGCCCATGTTCCTGAAGTTCTGGGAGACCCTCGACAGGTGTGTTTTGATAGCATATTTGTGCACATGTATGTTCGTGACGCAATGGGGTCGATACCAAGCCCACCTATACTTTGTTAGGGACCCTCGTCTCCCTTCCCTCTTTCTATACTGGTCTATCTTTTCAATGAAATTACTTGAAAAATACTTCAGAAAACATTTAAAATTCATTCTGGAAGTGCACTGAATTCCAATTATCTTCAATTGACCCCAACCCTGGTAGATACGTTTTATTGTATGTGTTAGCACTCATGTACATTGAGTTAAATAATAATCTATCTGTAAAAGTGTATACTTCATATACTCTGGGGTTATAGAAAGATTTGGGATTTATATTTGAATGGGGTGACAGTAGAATGCATGAGCTCCTTCTGACCACATATGACATCTTCTTTTCCTGTTCCCTCTACAGATACATGGTGAAACACAAGTCGCACCTGAGGTTCTGAGCCTGGAACGTGGCCTCCTTCCTCCACAGGTCCCGCCCCAAACCTAGCCCTCCTCCTCCCCACCAGGACTACTACTAGAAGAGAAAGGACACACACGGGCCCACAACACCCCCCACAAGTACTTTGGGGACCCAGAATAGACCCCTGTGTTCAGATGCAGTCCTTCAGGAAAATACCTTCTACCTGTTTTTCATAGATAGAAGCAGCAGGCACAGTATGTCACTCTAGACATTGGGAAGGGGAGGTTGGAGCTTCCCATGTTTTTTTCAAGTTCTTATGTACAAAACAATATACCAAAACTATATTTTCTAACAGCATAGCGTTTTACTGTGGAGACAGAGATTGAAGAGCGAGTGAGATGGAGAGAGCGGAAGGGGGATGGATAGATGGAGGTGGGGAAAACAACTTCCCATATTATTTCCTTTGTGAAATGGATCTTATAAATTCCATGTGAAACATGAGCTGGATAAGAAGCCCTTTGGAAATCTGGTGGTACAAATAAAAATCACTGCTGGGAATAAGGGATACGAGACCTCAGTCAGTTTCATTTTCCAATGTTACGAAAGGAACATTTGTGTCTACTTTTTTCCTAGCTGCGTCTGAAATGGCACCCCATTTCCTAAATAGTGCACTACAGTGCTCTATGAAGGGAATAGGGTGCCATTTGGGACAGAATCCTAGTGTGAAAGAGCGTAGGTATGCAGTCTTATAGCCAAGGAGCATCTGAGCGATGTTCCAATGCGATCCAAATGTGATGATAAATATAAGAGCCAAACTTTCTGAACAGACTTTGAAGATCAAATAAGCTAGTCTCTTATTCTTGATGCATTACAAAGCTATTTATGATTCAGTGATTTAGATTGGTACAAATTTTCCAGACAGTAAATCCCAATATTTGCGCGTTTTTTTATTTTATTTTTTGCAACTGCACACCACTTTTGTTACTATGTGAAGATGTATAGTGTTTTTTTTTTGTGGTGGGGGGTGTGGGTGGGGGGGAGGGGTGCAAATGAAAGGAATGTTGACGACATTGCTTTATTTGATGTGTTCACAGTGCAAATGGATAATAAAAGTTGGTAGAGGGGGAAAAGTGTCTTGTCTGTGTTGCAGTTTAAATCTCCTTTGGCTTTCTTTCCCATGCAGAGTTGGGTTTCTATTTGGACCAGGAGTTTTTCCTGCCCTCATGATCTTATCAGGAAAAACTGTGGGTACTACAGTAGTTATTCCTGGTAAGGTCATAACGATAGGAAAACTTCCTATAAACACAAATACAGCAAAAACATAAGGTTTTTCATTGAGCTGTTTTTTTTCTTCCATTAGGTCAGAGGATGAGTGAGTCTATCAGTTACTTTTACCCATTGTACATTTTCTGTTATAAAACTGACGATTGTATTTTTGATTTAAATTATGAATTATAGGTGTAACTGTTAGGCTACTGTTGCTTCATGCGTTGTATGCGTGTACTTACTGTCACTCTGGGTAGCTACTTCCCATACCGTTACCGGTGCTTGCCAAGCGGGAGCAAAGGGCACTGTGTTCCGGTTGTTGCCGTAGTAGACTATGTATTACAGTATTAAGGTGACATCTAGATGGTTATCAATATTAGTTATTTATTGTGTAGGCTTCTATCCTACTTTAAATAAAATCATGTGAGAGAAAATGGCCACGTAGCTAACGTTACCACCGCACAGGCGACACGACCATGAATTATACCCAGTAGGAAACACTTCAAATCGGCAGGCACAACTCCGGAGCGTTGAGTACTGATCGCCGGGTTATTGACTAGTGCATCAGCCACTAGTAAATAACCCGTCTTGAGAGGCAACAAATCGGCCCAATTAGCTGATTCGCTTTCCATACACTCACTTATTTCGACTCGCCCGTTCTCCGGCCGCCATATTGGGATGCAGATACCCCCTCCTCGAATATAATCTAGCTAGCTAGCTAGGTCAATTAAGGCTGCAGTGCATTCGCTTTCTCATCCTACGGTTACAAATAACAACTCCAGTCAGAATATTAAGTAGGAGCCTACCTGTTGGCTCGTGGTCGTTGTATCTTATCCTTCTCATTTAACTTAGAATTATGTCATTTTAATTCCATTCTACATTGATTAGATATCTCCTAACATTTGCCACACACTGAGGCTCTATGCCTGTAGCCTATTGCCGCTTTGATTACTTATGATTGGCCAACAACAAGCTACACGCGCCACGAACCACTTGTGAAAAGCAAAGACCAGCTGCACAGGAAATTCTTCTGGAATGCATTTATTACTGAAATTGAATGGAAGAATGCTTGGTTGCTCCTTCACAAATGTTGTATATCAAATAAAGTAAAATAAATTCACTTTAAAATCTTGCACAAAATGTACCCTTGCAATAACTTGTCTAAATTCATGGACTTCGAGGACATATGCCTTTTCTGTGATAAAGAAGGGGAAACTATTATACACATTTTTTATGAGTGTGACTTTGAAGTGAAGTATCTACATTTTTTATTTCATTAATAAGACCCATGTATTTACAATGAAATATGTAATATGTTATTATTCAAATGAAAACAAAAATACTGAATTAGTCGTTAATTTCTTAATTATCTGGTACATTTTATACACAAAAACAAATATTTGAAATCTGTCCCCAAATGCAATATATTTTTACATGAAATCCAATATTTAATAAACTCTAATTAATCAATAACAAAAAAACAACACTATTCTTACAACTCTATCATAGGTTTGTACATTTATAACCCCTGACCTTATTTTATTTTTGGTACTTTAACTTTTGAAACTCAATTCATGTGTAGTGGTTTTATTATTTTACTTCAATGTTATTTTATGTTTCTTCAGATAAAATATGTGTAGTGATGTCCTATGTTTTTTTGTTATTGTATTGTAATTTGAAATGTAATAAAAAAATACAATAAAAAGAGCAGCAGCATAAATGATACAATTTCTCTCTCTCTTGGCCCTTCCAGACAAGTCAGTAAAAATGAAGCATACCCGAGACCCATGACGATCATATCAGTTCTGACCCAGACCCGTGACATTGTTTAGAATTCTGGATCTGGACCCGCTAGGATCCCGGGTCTGAGGTATTCAGGTTCAGGTGGATCCTTGATGACCTCTAGTTTCCACCAAACGGACTTGTTGCAGAGGTAAATCAGTGCGTGATGATGTAGTGCACACAAAATGTAATATTTCGCTGAAGTTTTCATGTACCGAATAAAAATCTCAAATTCAATGTGTTTCCATCGCATTTTCAACTCTACCGATAGTTTTGTATGTTTTGTCCCAAAAACTTGAGTTAAATAGCAAATGTGCCTATTCTGGTCTTGGCACATGCGCTCTAGCCAACAGCTTGCAGATACTGTGCGGGTAGGCTAGTCTACATGATGAGATTATTATGGATAAGAGCGAGAATATTTGTATTTGTCAAACAGTAGTCAATCATCTATCTTCATGTCACCAGAATAAGACCCTCAATATGTATTGGATAGGAGCATCAAGCTCATAGCATGCACTTTCAACACCCTGTGAAATTCAAAATAATGAATTTCATCTGTAGCCTAATAAACTGCATGGTTTCCCAAGTTTTAGTGGGAGAATGACACACCATATAATTGCGTGACTCCAAGTTTCCTTTGATTGTTATTATTTCAGTAATTGCGCATAAAGGCGTTTCCACCGCCATTTCTCACAAATTACATTTTACCGACACAAAAAGATCCCACTACGTCGAATGAACAAATTATCTGTAGGCATTAATAAAATTGTACCGAAACTTCCTGTAATTATTTTTTTTTTATACGGTATAACTTTACTCGCATGAAAACTGTGAACTGAAACGTGGTTAGTGTCCAAAATGTGGTATGAAATAGACATGGTATGAGTCAACCAATTGTTGCCCTATGAGTCAGACTACTCATTCACACTGTGTTTTACAGTACCCTGAAATAGAACCTGGTCCACTTATCAGAACATAGCCAGCTAGTAGTGTGCTGTGCTCTTCAGGCTTCAGACAGCAGATCAGTCTTCCTTTAAGATCAGAGCCGACTCTCTGTCGTGTTTATTAGTAACCAAACAGAAGAACACAGACTAAAACTGGGAGGGACTGTGCTATAGACGGTTTAGCAAAGGGGCCAGAAGGCTGTGTGTTATGGTTCTGGATGGCCAGAAGTGGATCATAAGTGGCTCATTTCAGCTCTTTTGATCTTGTTCTTGATACCTTGTTTTTAGGTGTTTTGACTGATGTCACGTCTATGCTAATATGGCAAAAAAAAAATGCTAGCTAACCAACAACTGTAACAATGTATTTCAGAGAAGTGCTCATTGTGCAACTTTATGATTTCAAAAAACTTTGGAGACGAAATATAGTTTACACGTTATCAACAATCTAAGCCAACCCCATCTGTTTTACCCCATAGTTGTGCACATGTCGGTTTTGTTGCTAAACAACCAACCTGTCTATAAGAAGTGCTTGCTTCCGTTGCAAAACGTTTTGGTACGATTTGCATTAATTAATACAACCCTGGTGTGATAGATGACCGGTAACTCTCTCTGTGGTTATTTTGTTAATGTGGGATGTGATCCTCCTGTGAAGGTGACCTGACTTAATCAAGATTTATTGACTCAGGGGAGTTGTGTCGAAATTGGCTATCTGACCTGAGCTATTTTCTATCCATCCTTCAAGCTTCGATTGATCGTCCTGGCTTCAAGCTTTGATTGTGTTGGAGGTGAGCAGGTGGAGGTTTTGGCTTGATAAAGGGCTCTGCTTTGGAGCAGGCTTGGCTACCCCACCAGTGCAGGGGTGTAATTATTAGTCCACACCGTAGCAAACCGTTAAGTAGGAAAACGTTCTGCAACAAAAACAGGCATTTCTTATTGGACAAGTTCAGGTTGGTCGTTTCCTTCCATTTGACATTGGGAAAAGAGGGTGGACTATCAGCTGATCTTTGACGTTGTTGCTGATGTACAGGTCACTGCCAAAATAAAG